TTACACAATTAAAACCAAAATTAAGAATTTTAGAATTCTTTCAAAGAATATTTCAACATTTTAAGGTGATTTTAATAAAATTATTTTTTAAATATAAAATTGAATTTATAAATAATATTTTATATTTATAATTAATTTCTTACCTATGGTTGGTTGGTTGGTTGTTTAACGTGGTCGATCCGTGACAATCATGTATGTCATTAAGAGTAAGATTACGGGTGGCCTAACTGAGCCATCCGGTTTGTAAATTAAGTTACCTATATAATTGTAAAAGTTGTATTTAATATATTAGCAAAGGCTCAAACCATATTACGTATATAATAATATGACAATTTGTTCAACTTGTCAAAATTTTTATTTATCATTGATGTTTTAATTATTTGAAGAAATAAATTTAAAATAATAATTTTTGTCGTAAGTGTTTTAGAAAATCAAATTCTAATTTAATTTAAATTCAACTGCATTTGAAAATTCTAGGCTGTGTAATGTACAATTGGTTTTGATTTCGAAAATTAAGTGCTACAAATTCTGTTTCTGAGTGTACAATCTGCAATCATGAAAATGCAACGCAAATTTAATGTGTCAATTTTGTAATTTTTCTGTATTACGTCTATCTGCCTGTATTTGATTTGTCAATTTAAGATGTCAATTTTGTAAATGCAATTTTTCTGTATTACTTCTATCTGACTATATTTAAAATAAATACTAATTTTTACTTAGTAGTATGCATATACTAGAAGAAGTATAATTGTATTAAATTCAATTATGTTGTATTAATTTTAATTCTAAAATTAACGCAAAGTTTGTTTTCCCGAAATTACCTTTTCCTAAGTAAATTTTGTATTTACTTACTTAAGTAAATTTTGTATTTATTTACTTTAGTAGAAATTTAACATAATATAAAATTAACAAATACAAACAGTAATTAAAATGACAACAATAAAAAAACAGTGGCAACTACTGTAATGAAAATCACAACGATAAGAAAAAAAACAGTGGAAACTACAATAATTAAAATAATCGATTAAAAAATTGTCGCTGCTCCTATTGTATAGGCAATTTCTTAAACAACTAAATGACACAAGTACAAATTGTACTTTATAATTCGAAATTGTACTTTAGTTTTGAATATTTACAATTAAACTAACCTAAATTTTTTGAACTTAATCATTTGAGATTTTTCACCTGTGCAAAAATAAACAAACAAACCAAATAATGAAATATATGTATGGATGTATGTTATTCTTTATCAGAATGAAATTTTAAAATTAAATTTTTTTTCTTTTTTAGTTTCAAGTTTAAGTTCGATATAGATTCAATGGAATAAATTTTTTGTTATTTTTTTTTAAATTTATTTAAAAAATTATGGCGATTCTAAAGTTAAATTTCGAATATTTCATATATCAAAATTAATTTCGAAATTGAAAAAAATCAAAATGACACGCTATACTAGACTTATTGATGAAACAGAAGCCATCATTATTATTAGTAATGTAAGATTATATCGAAAAAATTAAAGAAAAAATCATAGATTTATGGTACACGTGTCAAATATAAAAAAAAAATTATTAATTTTTAATGAAAACCCCTACATTTTGTGAGAAAAAAAAATGTGTTAGTCTAAAATTCATTTTTAAGCATTGTGAACCTTACGAGTATTATTAACACTTATGTATGTGGTTTTGGAAATGTAAAATATCGATTTAAAAATTTAAAAATGGATTTGTGACCGGAAGATGATGTAATTAAAATTGAAAAATATTTAAAAAAGTGTTCCCTTAGTACAATTACGTTGAGAATTTGTTAAAAATTTTGTTATATGCACACAATAAATTGAATAAATAATTGAAGGGGTGGATTTGAAAATCGTAACCATATTTAGTATTCGATTTAATTCTCAGCATGTAAGCTTTTCAAATCAAAAATTTATTTGATATTCCATCACGAGTTCTTAATATTTTTCTAGATTAATCATAGTGTATATACACTATCTAGTACTGTAGTGTGTATACAGTTTGCAGTACTATACGGAAGAGAATTTCTGTAATTAAACAACACGTTACTTTTTTGTGCGGCACTAGTGAAAAAAAGTAGTTCTATTGTCTAATTACAAATATCGTCTGCTCTACAGCACTATAAATTATTTACAATGTGTTTAATTAAAATTTTCTTACCTTTTGCTTCTGAGCCTTTAAGGTGCTGAGCCCTACTTTTAACAATATTACTTTGAAAATACATAGAATATGGAAATTAGATGTGAAAACTCATTTGTCAAAATCTCATCAGATCTCTTTAGATTTTTGACAGAAATTTCTTACAATTTCAAAATTTAAAGTATAGATTTCGAGCGTCGCATCATTTGCAATTATATGCTATGGCCAGTCTTATATTTCGCACCCTTGCGGCAATTGTTCGCACATATACAAATTTATTTTAATACTTAAATTATTTTATTTCAAAGGCTATTAAAAACCCTTCAATCTTTCGTTAAGTATTTCTACAATTAAAAAATTAACTAAAATATTTCAATAAAAAATTTTAATTAATTTAAATTGAAGCTCAAGATCTTGTTATCATACAATTTTTATTTAAAAAATTTTTTAAAATGTACTAAACCCAAAAATTCAAGAAATTAGTACTTATTATACGCGAAAATTTTCTTAAACAAAATTAAAATAATATTTTTAAACTTGACTTAAATTCAAATATTAATTAAAAAAAAAAATTCATCATTTAAATTAACTAAAAGAATAAATGTGCATAAATTATTAAAATTGTTTTAAATTAAACAAAGAGAAAATTTTAAGTCAGTCGAAAATTGTACAAGGGACGTTAAAAGTAAATACTAAAGCAATCAAACAAAGGAAAATTACAAATGCAGTTGAATACACACGCAGATTTATATACGCCTATATCTTAAATATGCGTAGGTTTATATAATAATGTTTGTATTAATATATAGCTATAAACTAAATTGTGTCTGTCATTTATGACAACCGTATTTTTACAATTAGAGAGAAGATACAATCATGCGACAAAAGAAAAAGAACCACATTTCAATTGATTTTGATTAAATGCCTGAGTAGCATAATAATATAAAATTATGTATACACAAAATATATATAAGATGGTCATCTTAAATCAGTGTACACACAAATATAATTATAGTTATAAGAGATATACTCTTGTATATTTGTGTATATTTATTTAATAATTTTAAAATTAGGACATATTTATAACATAAAATGATGGCGACTTGTCGTACCATTCAATATATGTATGTAATCTGATTTTTTTTTGGTCGTATAACTTTAAATTGATTGAGATTTTAAACGCCTCTACAGAACGTATGTAAAATAAAAATGATTTTTTTTAAATTCATCTTCAAGACCTCTAATTGTCATATATAGTTGCTATCATCTGTTCATATTAATCGCTATCATTTAGTAATTCTGAGAATCACATAATAATACGATTATTTGCTGTAAAAAAAATCGATATTATTATTGTAAACATAAATCGATTCATTTAAATGTGGTTTGTGACTATAATAAACTTATAAAATTTATCAATATCATTTTGAAATTAGTGATGCACTTGTCAGAATAAGCTGCAGTCTTGAGAATTTATTACTAAATCAAATTTTATAATTTAAAACTTAATAATAATAATTCTTCGAATCATATATGCAACATAGATGTCGCAGTTTATTTGACATTACACGGTGTGGTTCACGATTTACGAAATGTTATCATAATTTTCTCTTTCTTCTCTTTTCGTTTTTTTTTTTGTTCTCTTCTTATTAGCAAAATTATCACATCTGAAAATTTTTAAGTGTGTGAATTTTATTTTATTTACGCAAATTTATAATGCAATCCCTTTTGTAAACTTTTGTTTATTAACAATTTGAAGTATCCATTTTGCAGTTTTTGAATTATTTTATTAGTTAAGTGTCTGATTTATTTACCCATTGTTATTTAGTACTTGGTTGACATACAAGTATATACAAGTATATGTAATTTAATCTTTATAAACATACGGTACGTAATATTAAATTCTACAATCCGAATCTTTCATTGTCACAATGTCATTGAAATTAATGAACTTTATGTTATATTTTAATTATTTTTTGTGAAAGAATCAAAAAGATATTCAAGTCTTTGCAATTGATATTTAAAATAATGATGCGAGATGTCGCAATTAAAATGATTAAAGTATGTGACGAAAGGGCGTTATTTGCAAGTTGATTGCAAATGTAAATGATATTTGAACTGCAAATGTTGGTTGCAACTTTTGAATTTCTGGTAATGACATTTCCAATTATCTGATAGTTCAAGTGTAGCTTATTTCGAAATGACATTTTTAATTCTTTAAATCAATTTGTTGTCAAAATTTAAATTTTCAAGAATTCTTGCAGAACTTCTTATAATTCCCTACGATTTGAAATTAGTAGGTTCGGGGTTATACGATATTTTAATTCTTAATTAGAGCTGAACAAAACTTCGAAAATTTAATTTAAATATCAAATGCAGGTGTATTTAAACTTTAAAAACTGCAACTTTAGGAACCAAAGTATCGGAAAATGTCTTTTTTATCATTTTGTGTAATGGGAAGTTGCCAAATATGAAAAACAATATTGCATTTATTTTGCCCCATCATACATATGTATGAAAAATTTTATATGAAATGACCATAAAAATATTAATCATATTAATAATTTAAAGCTCAGATTAGATTGTGTTTTATTTTTTCCAGGAAATTCTAAAAATAGAAATTAATTTTCATAAATTTATTTTTGTATATTTATCTACATATATGGGTAGGTATATATGTAGCAAAAATTTCACATAAATTATGTGAAAATCTGACATTTAACAATGAAAGTTCTTATAATCATTTAAAATGTTCGCTTTATAAATTATTTTACTTTATATATAATGTATATATTTTGACAATGAATTAATAAAAAATAATATTATTATATTTAAATCTATTTCCAGAGTTCTGGTATTGGTGATCCGTCTGTTTACCATGCTTTGGTTGTGATATTTTTAGAATTTTTTGCATGGGGTCTATTAACTATGCCAGTTATATCTGTAAGTATTGTTTTATTTAAAATATTAAATTAAATAATAAAAAACAAAATTGTAATCATATATATACATAATCAAGAATATTTCGTGTAGAATTGTAGATGTACATAGCCTGTTTACTTAAAATACTTTGTATATAATTCTATGTGTAAACGTACACAATTTTGTATTAAATTTTTAATATTATATGTAATTTTTTTATTGTGTATGAGTGTTTTTATGACGTATTAATATTATAAAATGTACAACCCATAGAATATTAAAACAGCTATAGGTGACAATTTTATTAAAGTTTTAAAATAATAAACAATAACAACTCATTTACAAGCTGTTTTATAACCATATAGTTAGGCGTAATATTTGATAAAATAAATTTTGTAAGAAGGCTACATTAAATTTCTCAATTGATCTAAAACTAAATCTACTTAATATTGAATTTGAATTTTTGATTTTAAAATTTCGATTCTCGATTTTAAAAAAGAGAAAAAAATTTTCAATACTCGCCTAAGAACGAAATGTAGAATTATTTCCTACAAAACTTTATGAAATAATTAATATTTTGGCAGAAAATATGTATTTGTAAGTCATTCATATTTTGACAAGAAAAATCTGTCAATTTTTGACATATACATTAGAAAATAATTTTTCCAGTCAAAATGCTTATTTAAAAACAGAATGAGCTAGAAATTTGAAGCATGACGCATATACTCTTTCTTACTATAGGTAGATCGGCATATTGCGAGTGAGTAATAATGGTCGGACTTTGAGAAAATTCAGTAAATATATGATCAAACGGAATATACATATGAAAAGGATTCGAGTAGCACTAAACTTGAAGTCTTTAATTTCGAGAAAATCATTTTAATACTCGTAGAAAAAGTTCATTTATAATTTTTATTTTGTCAAATAAAAAAACCTTACCTTCACCTCAGCAGATTGTGACAGAAAACACATTTTATTATGACCTTCATGTACTGTTCACCCCCTTCCATATATACATAAAGTATATCTATATATGAGTAATATCCTATACATATAATTTTATTTTTTTCTCTTTTGTTTAATTTTAATTTAAAATGACATTTATGATCATTGAAATGATTGTGTATACGGGTGTGGTGACTTTTTTTTTGTCAAAATTTATGCGAAAACAATGTATTAGGGTGAAGGTTAATTTCATAAATCCTATATATATACATATATATACTATTGTGTTTTATATTAAAAGTGTAATATAAATTTAAAAAAAAATAATAAATTAAATAATGCAAATTTTATATAAACGTTGGTTATAAGTCGATTGTGTAGCTTATCTACCTGCCGCCCTATATATATATATATTTCAAGAACCATTAAAATAAGTCTATTCTATTTTTAGAGAAAGTACTATTTAAAAAAAATAATACAAATAAGTATTATGTAGGCTATTTGTAGAATGGTGGGTGTTGTTCACTTGTTCTATTAAAAAACATCATTTTTTTTTTTAGAAAGTAAATGAGATCAGAAAAGAATACAAATTATTAAACGCGAGTACCGAGTTTTAAATTATAGACTTCAGAAAAAAAAAAAAAAAAACAAAAATTAATCATATTCAATTTAATGCAATTTAAAAAAAAAAAATATTTACGTCAGAATTATTTGTTGTTGTTATTGAAAAAGAGAGTAAATTTACGTTTTTCTTTAATTTCATTAAATTTTCAAAAATTATAGAAAGAGAAATATATTTTCAATTACCATCAATTAAAGTTTAGGAAATTAAATGAATTCTGTTATTTAGTTGATTATAAAATCAAAAATTTTCTATTTATTTTTGGTTTAATTTTAATAATCAGCTGTTTTGAGCACATTTTAAGCGAAAATTTGAAAAGAGAAATTAATTTGTTGTCCCCGACCCATTCATCAGTCCATTAAGACTAACTGAAAATTTCAATTATTTTATACAAGTGAATAACAGAAAATTTTCACCATATTCTCCCCTTTTTCTAAAAATAATAGTCGCTAAAAACCTTAAACAAGCATTAAATTTAAATTAAGTGTAAAAAACATAGAAAGATGGCAACTTCCTTTTTCTGGCTATACAAAAACATAAAGAATCGCCATTGTAGCCTAAAGGTATGCAATATGAGGTCATATATTATTACTACATATAAGAGAATATCTAAAATGAAATATGCCAATTTGCAAATGGTTGGTTAGATTCAAGTGTTTTTTAATTTATCATCCTCTTAAAATGTTATGTAAAATTAATTCAAATATTCAAAAATTTAATAAAAACAAAATACTAAAGGGGAATTTATTTTTGTATATTTAATACTTTTATAAAAATATTAAATGACAAATATATGTATGTATATATACAACCTTGACCATGAATAAATTTGTTAAAAGTCGCGCGTGCATCGCACTACCTATATATAGTTAACAATTTTCAGAAAATCATTCATAAACGGATGTTTTTTTTTTCTAATATTAAATGTAGTTTTAATTTAGTTTTTTTTATTTTTTACATTTAATGTTATTGAGAAAAATATCATTGATACATATATATATATTTATCTTAAAATAGACTAGAACAACTACATACTTTTATGATTGCATGTGTTTTACTTATTTTTATATTTCCTTCCTGTTTATTTCCCATATTATGTATACGTAGAGTGCGCTTAAAATAAAAACACTCAATTATACTATAGAGTTACATAAATTAAATTTACACTTTCTATAAAAAATTTGTATAATGTACATTAAAGCAAAATTTTTTTGTTTCATCCAATTCTGATATCGATTTATTTAAAATATATTATTTGTACATCTACCATTCATACACATTTGCAAACAAGTATACATGTGTGTATTCAAAACTTAAAATATATACAAAGCTGTGTGTATTCAAAGCTTAAAATATTGACGTCAAAATGACATCTTGTGTAATTAAAAACAAATAAAAAAAAAAGAGAGAAATGAAAATAAAAATTTTTTTTTGTAAGAAAATTTATGTCATCCTTAATAATTGTAAGAAAAAAATTGTAATATGAAAAAAATGGAACAAAATAATGGCCATCAATATGAAATCTTATCTTAAAATAACACTTTTCCAAAGACGTAATATGTAAAGTGATACATTAATTTGATTAAAATGCATATTTTCAGGCGCAATTTGAACTTATTTTTATTAAATCTTAATTTCAAATTTAATGCGTTAAGTCAAATTTTTACAGTTTGTGGAGCATTAATCAATATAAAGTATGTCCTGTCAAATAACACTCTTTCAATTTAAGAATAAGTTACACTAACATTGTGTTTACACACTGTCAATAAGTTTTGCATGCATTCACTATTCAGTTTTCGAGTAAAAATAAATTATTGTGAATTTATTATTAATTATTCATTATTTTTGATTAAAATGAAGAAGTTCTCTGAGCTAACTTTAGTTTTAATTACCGATTTGACAAAAGTTTGGCAGCTTTTGATAATGAAAGTACACAAAATAACATAATTGTAACGTCATGTAATGACAAATTTTAGTAAGATATGGAAAAATTGATTGTGAAGTTTTAAAATATATTGTGAACTATACTATTGTGACTGAAATGTTAAACATATAATATTAAACAGTAACAAAGTTTAATATTTTTATAATTATAAGAATTTTAAATAATTTGCAATTATATAAAATTAAATAATTTAATTAAAATTCTAATTCAATTTTTTTAATTTTGTTTTTTTAAATTTTAGGTTTTAAATCAAACATTTCCAGATCATACATTTTTAATGAATGGTCTTGTTATGGGTATTAAAGGTATACTATCATTTTTAAGTGCACCATTGATTGGTGCTTTATCCGATATATGGGGTAGAAAATTCTTTTTATTAATAACAGTATTTTTTACCTGTGCCCCAATACCATTAATGACAATGAATACATGGTGGTTTTTTGCAATGATCTCAATAAGTGGTGTATTTGCTGTTACATTTTCAGTTGTATTTGCATATGTAGCTGATGTAACAACAATTGAAGATAGATCTCGAGCATATGGTTTAGTATCAGCAACATTTGCAGCTAGTTTGGTAATAATATTTTTTTAAAATACCTAAAAAAGAAAAACAAAAATTACAATTTATTTAATTTTTTTTTTTTTTTGTAGGTTATATCACCTGCATTAGGTGCAACATTAATGGAAATGTATAGTGATACATTAGTAGTTGCATTAGCAACTGCTATTGCTGTATTAGATGTATTCTTTATATTAGTTGCTGTACCAGAAAGTTTACCAGAAAAAGTTAGACCTAGTTCATGGGGTGCACCTATTAGTTGGGAACAGGCAGATCCTTTTGCGGTAATTTTCTTTTTTTTTTTGGTTTTAATAATAAATTTAAAGAGAATGTAAAAAATTATTAAATATTTAATTTAATTTTAATTTTTCATATTACGGATATAGGCTTTAAGAAAAGTCGGAAGTGATCATACAATTTTAATGCAATGTGTAACAGTATTTTTATCATATTTACCAGAGGCTGGACAATATTCATGTATATTTGTTTATTTGAAATTGAAAATGGGCTTTAATTCAATTGAGGTGTCAATTTTCATAGCAATTATTGGAATATTGAGTATTCTAATACAAATAACTCTAGGATTTTTAATGAAGTAAAAAAAACCAATCTTTTATATGCATGCTTTAAAATTTTATAATATGCAAAAAAAAAATTATAATTTGATTATGAAAATGTTAATGTTTTATTATTATTTTTTTGTTTTTGGTTTTTAGGTCGCTTGGTGCAAAACGTACAATAATTATAGGTTTAATATTTGAAATGATGCAATTACTGTGGTATGGTTTCGGAAGTCAAAGATGGTATTTATACAATAAATTTAAAAAAAGAAATGAAAAAATTAATTTAAAATTTTTAAAATATTTTAGGATGATGTGGGCCGCTGGTATATTAGCTGCTTTAGGTTCAATTACTTATCCAGCTATTAGTGCTTTTGTTTCAATACATTCTTTAGCAGACAGACAAGGTAATAACATATTGTATATAGGGTTGATTACAATTCTGTTCAAAAAAAAAAAAAGCGTTTGTATTTGAAACTTGTGATGCACTTCTGTAATATCCGAATATAACAATGGCCTTTGTCTAAATTTTATTTGACATAAGTTACATTCATACAATCGATTTATCGATAATGCTACAAATTCTAAGTCATATATGGATATGGAAATTAAATTATGAGGCTGATATACGATTTTGGATTTAAATTCGAATTTTTTTACCTTTAAATCAAGATATATTAATAAATTATTTCATTATGTTTGACTTAATGGGTTAATAAAACCCTATAATGCCAGCATGAGCTCTCTAAGGAATTATGTAATATAACGAATATATAACGCAATACAATAAAGATAAAATGGCATGAGATTTCTGTTAATAAAATTTCTTAACTTTATTGGTATCCATTCGATTGGAATTATTGAATATTGCGTTTTTAATTAAAATTTAAAAAAGTTTGTTGAGGCGAAATGAACTGACAAAATTCTTTAATTTTTTCATATTTATTTTTATTTTTTAGGTGTTGTACAAGGTATGGTAACTGGTATGCGTGGTTTATGTAATGGTTTAGGACCAGCTATGTTTGGTGTGATATTTTATTTATTCCATGTTGATTTAAATGATGAACATAGTAATAATAATATTGGTATTGGTAATCATTCACCAATTGATAAGGCAATAAGAACAAATAATACATTACATCCAGATTTATATGCACAATTTGCACCAGGTCCACCATTTGTATTTGGTGCATTTATGGTTATATGTGCTATATTAGTTGCTGTATTTATTCCAGAAGGGCCTTCAGAATTATCGATTCGACGTTCATCAGTTGATAAAAAACGTAAATTTTTCTATAATATGATTTATTATATATTTAATTATTATTAATTTTATTTATTATTAATTAATTATTATTTTGCATTAATTAATTTTTTTTTTATTTTATTTTAGGTGTATCACTAGATGTTCATTATGAAATTGAAAGAGGCCGTAAAGTTGCAAGTCCTCTATCACCGCTTATGCGATCTGATTCATCAGCGCAACTGTAGTCATTTGTTTTCTAGTTTTAAAAATTATTAAAAAGAATAATAATAATAATAATTAAAAAATTAATATTAAAAATATAAAATCATAAATTTATAATATATTGTGTATAAATGTACATGTATACTATTATATATATATATATATATATATATATATATATATATTATAAAAAATTAAGAAATTTAGTGTAAATTTTTAATAACAGGCAAAAGAAATAATATAATAAAAAATTGCAAAAAAAAATTAATAATTTAATTAAAAGAAAAAAAAAACTGAATAATTATTTAAGATTTAATGATAAAAAGAAAACAAATATAAAATTATAATTAATGAATAGTACATATAATATATAAATGCATACCTACATTTAAAATGGAATTAATGAAAAAAAATATCAAAAAGAATTAAAAAAAAAATTATTAAAGTTATATAAAATTTCCTTTTTTTTTTTAAATTGAAAATTGAAAATAAATAATTTATTTTAAGACTATAAAAAGAAAACAATAGGATGTTAAAATATTTATATTGTATATGTAAATTTTATTGAATTTAAATTATTAAACGCATTTAATTTGCTATTTATTGAATACCTATTTCAATTTAATTACATCTTTTTTTCTTTCCAATAGCATTTTTAATTCAAATAAAATGTTCTATTGAAAATACAAAATAAAGAATTTTATTTTAAAGAAATTGTATAACAAATTTAATTTTTCATAATTCCCAAAATGATTTTATTTTTTTTTTTTCAATTGTTTAATAACTTTTTATACAATAGAAATATAAGTATATTTTAAAATAGGAAAAACAAAGAGAAAACAATAATTAATCACTGTTAACCGAAACCACACAGCCACTTAAAAATTACGTGACAGTTATTTATCACTACTATTTTTTTTAAATGACACATTCAAATTGTTACAAAAAATCGCTAAATTTTTTATTTGGCGATCCATTAAATTAATAGTTTGTTACTTTTTTACACTCTTCCAATAATAAAATAATGTAAAAATGTATTTAGTATTTAATATAATAATAATATATGAAAATAGTTAAAATAAAAAATGTTTTAAAAAAATTGTTTTTTTTTTTTTTTATATATTATTAATTATTATTAAATATTTTTTATATTATTGAAATTATTATTTATCTTTAATAATTTTTTTTCTTATTTATAATTTTTATATTTTTTTTTTATCAGAAATTTTTGTAAAAGTAAAAATTATTATATAAATAATTAAAATAAACCGTCGTATATTTTTCAGAAAAACGTGATTATACACACACACACACTATATTATAGGAAATTTGAATTTCGATAATATCAAAAAAAAAATGTATTTCTTTTAAAAAGAAATAAATTGTTTTATTATTTAATATAAAACATAAAATTTTAAAAATTTACATATACAAATATATTTATACAATAAAAAAAAAATAATAGTAATTGTAATAAATATAATTTTTAAAATCCCTAAAAAAAAAAAAAAAATTTTTTTTTTGATTAAGAAATAAAATAAATTCAATAATAAAATAATGATGAATACAAAATAGCTTAAAATTGAAACAAATTGCTCATATTAAATTAATTTGGAACAAAAAAAAAAATTAAAAATATAAAATACAAAATATATTATTATTAGTTCATAAAAATAATAACAATAATTGAAAAATAAATAAATTAAAAAAAAACAAAAATAATATATTTTAACAAATTAATTTTCTATTTTAGAATTCTTCTTTTGTTCTTTGATTTTTTCAATTTATAATTTGAAAATTATTAAATTTTAATTAAAATAAATTTTAGATTTTTATACACACATTTAAAACTCAAATTTAACCAAATTATTTTATATTTTCTATTAAAAATTTCACATGTTTTTTTTTTGTTTTTTGAAGAAGATTTAATTTTGATTAAAAATTTGTTGCTCAATTAATAATTGAATTTAAATTTGATTGGATGAAACTTAGGCAGATAAAATAATTTTGTTTTAATAAAAATTTTTATTGCGATCATCACATTTATTGATTGTAAAACTATATCAGGCAGGGAATTATTTTAATTTTTAATAAATAATATATAAAAATCATTATAAAATTAATTTGATTTTAATTTAGAAAATTATAATTGTAAATTTACAGTAGAAAATAAATAATTTCTTGTTTAAAAATTTGAACACTTACAAATTTGAAAAATCAAATTTTATTTTTAAAATTGTCTAGACTAAAGCCATGCCTAATTATTAATTATTATTAATTTCAAGATAAAAAAAATCAAATTAATTTTAATATTTGATTTTATATTTTTTTTTTCATATTTTTTTTACATCATTTACATAGTTTGTGTTTTTTTAAAAAAAAAATATGGATATACGAATAGTTAGCAGAAAATTTACAAGAATTTTTGTAAAAAATTTTTCACATCATATTCAATATTTTTCATATATTAAAAGAGAATATTTAATATTTTTTCAAATATTATTCATTAGTATAAATAATTACTCTCAAAATACTTACAGACAACTTAATAAATAATACAGGCAACTTAATAAATAAATTTAAATAATAATAAGATATTATGTTAGTATTTAAGTATTTCCATTAAACATAAAACAAAAAAAGAAAAACTCTTTCAAAATTACATTACAATTATTACAAGTTTTTTTTCATAAAACTGAATCATATAAAATGCAGTTTTTATAAAATTTTAAAGTAAAACATGATTTAAAACTATTAACACAAAAATAATAATTTTAATGCCAAAAATAGAAAAAACATCATTAATTTATTTTAGTTTTGATTTGAACAATATTAATTTTTTTTTCTAATTATGTATTTATAATTTAATTAAATAATATATTCTTAATTATTTAGTAATTTAGTAATTAAGTAAATATTCTAAAAAAAAAAAAATTGAATTTACAAATCACAATCAATTATTAATACCTTTTATTTTATTTTTCATTTATTTATTTATTTAATTAAAATACATAATAATTTTATATATATAACAATAATTTTCCATTTAATTTTTAAGTTTTTTTATTAATTTATTATTTTTATATTTATTTTAATATTAAAATAAATAAATAATAGTTTGTTTTAGTTGCCTTATAACAAAATAAAAGTTTTATACGTATAACCCTCTTCAAATTACTTATTATTAAAATCTTTTATTATTTTGAATCGGATTTTTGTATAATAATAAAAAAAAATGTACAATTGAGCTTCATAACTTTTTAATTAAAAATTTTATTATTATTATTTTCATATACAAAATTAATTTTTTTTTTTTCTTAAAATTTCAATTACAAAAATTTTTAAAATAATTGTTATAAAAAATTTATTGTCATATAAAATATTCAGTTTTACTGTTCAAAATCATGAAAGTTTACTGCCACAAAAATTCTCCAAAATGTTATTTTAATTCTAATTCGCTAACTATTCATATCCATATTTTAATACACAAAATTAAAATAATTATAGAAATGTTAGGACGTCTACCGAAATGCAGGTCTAACGTCAAATTGACTTATTCAATAATTTAAACAGTATTGTTGTATAAGTCAAGTTAACGTTACGTTTGCATTTTGATAGATGTTCTTTTAATTTATGAAAATTAAATATTACAAATATATAAGTAAACATAAAATCAGGTAGCTTTACATATTAATTGAATTTATATCAAGCTTCAATTAAAAAATTTAAAATAAATTCAATATGAAATAAAAAAAATGTAAAAAAATTCAATGGCAATTTTTTTTAAGAAATATGAATATTTTAGTTTTGAAAAAAATTTAATGCAAATAAAACATGGTCATAAGTACTAAAAATTTATTATAATTTTGCAAATTGCATTCATGGAATTCGGAATTGCAGTAATACTGTATTGCTACATAAAACAAGACATCACTAATAAGTAGAATTGAGTATCAATACTTAATTACAGCAATTTTGAAGCCATCGATTATTTAAAACAAAAATAAAATATAATTTTGTAATTCAAATTAAATTTCAAACTTTAAATTTTCGATATTGCCATCATGTTTGTAAAAGATAAAACTAGTTCTTCAATTATAATATTATAATTGAAGGACAAGATGAGGCCTGCATTAAAATATTATACTAAGATTTAATTTATGTTTTGTTTATTCATAATTATATTGAAGTTGAAAAAATATTGAAGTTTCCATTCAATTGAATTTCAAATTTCAAAATTACAAAATTGAATAATATCCCCCATCAATTTCAAGTGATCAATCCAAAGGAATATTTGTGATGCATTTTCTTATATCACTATTAAATTTAATAATTTTTAATACTTATGACATTTAATTTTAATTTTCGAACTAAATAAAAAAGTAAATTAATTTTTATTTTATTTTTTAATTTAAATTTGTAATAGAAATAAAATTGGAGCGTTTATAACAAAAGTAGTAATATAATTTTAAGCAAATAAATTTATTGTATATAAATAATATTTGATTAAAGAATACCAAACAAAATTTTTTAGAATATTAAAAACAATAAAAATGGTTACGTTATTTGTATAGGAAGAAGAAAATATCTCAAGTATTTTTGTAAAAAAAAAAAACAAATAATAATAAAATATGCACATAAAAAAAAAAAAAAAACAAATTAATATGAAAGAAAATTATTTAAAATAAAAATAAATTAAATAATAATTAATTTTAACTTATAAGATTTGTTTAATCATACAATAAAAATAAAAAATTTATATAAAAGGAAAATTACAATACAATTATTAGTCTATAAGTAGACATGCGCCCCTCCCTAATCCTATCTTCATTCTATTCCTATAATTTCCTTGCCCTAATGTAAAAACAAAAAAAAAATATTAATAATAAAAAATTCTACTTAATAAATTAAATTATAATTATGTAAAAAAAATAATTAAAAATTTATAAAAAAATATAAATATTTCATTGATTTTTAAAAAATTTGATATTTTTTTTTATATAGATTTGATATTTTGTTAAATTTAATAGATTTTGTTTTATTTCCTATTATAATTTTTAAATAATTATAAAAAAATATATGAATTTTAGGCAATTTTGTTATTTAATTACTTATTTTTTTTTGCAGTTTTATTATAAATTCAATATTTATTTTAAATG